TCTTTCTCTCTCTCTCTTTTTCTGTATCCTTTCCTCTCCTCCCCGGATTCATAGTTTGTAGAAGTAATTTTCTAGCTAGCAATACGTATATCATTTCGCCCGTGTACTAGTCTATCCTCATAACAACTACCCATACGTATATTCTGAGATCTATCAAACTATCCATAAACTAAGGTCTATATTTTATTCACCTATCCATGCATCTGCCCCATTGCCTCCTCCACTCCCCCCTCCCCCCCGCACAAGTCGTCAGACCAGTGACCCCCTCTCCACCCCTCCCCTTTTCCTCCCCCCCCCCTTTTTTTCCCCACAACACAATTCAGTGTCTTTCTCTTTTCTTTGATATTTTCTTTTTCCCTCTCTTTTTTGATGCACTTGTTCCCCATTTGCTTCTTGGACTCTCGAGATGCTAATAGACACGCAAATAGGGCATTTACTCAGAGGGAGTCCGTGTCTACGTGTTGTGACTCCACAAGGAAAGAACGCGCCCCGCCCTCTTATTTCCCGTACGATCTTGTCCTGAGCTGAAATAATCTTCTCGGGACGCCCAAAGAGCTGTGGTGGGCCCTCGCGGCTCGCGCCAAAAGCTGGGCTTTTTTTTTCTCCCCTTTTCGAACTTGTGTTCAGAAAACTCATACGTCGAATGATTGAGAGTTTCTGCAGTCCAGTCTTATTTTCATCCTGCCCCGTGTATTGTCTCTGTCAGGTCTTTGTATTTTTGTTGTTGCGCCTTCATTTGTGTGCATTGTTGCTATTTGCTTAGCTAAGAAATGAGTGCGTTGCAATCTCGAATTGAGTTTTCCGTCCCCCACCCCCAAACCCTACCCCGCCCTCTTCATGTGTAGTTAATAAGCCTAATGAATGCAAAATAGATTAATCAATAATTATATTACGCTTTTAAAGTGCTGGGGCATGTGGAAGCGGCACAAGAGGGGCACAAAAATAGGGGGGGGGGGGTCTCCTCTTTGTTTCTGTTGTTCTTTCCTTAATCCCTGAACATCCGTTTACTCTTACTTCTTTGTATTTTGAAATATTTTTGTGATATCTGAATATTTTTTAAAGTCTTACGAAACTGTAAAATTTCCAAAGTGCTCTTTTTTAAAAATTCATCTTTAGGCAAATGTTCGTCTCCACTGCACTCCCAACTACCTAAAGTACACGTAAAAAGGTATCATTGTTCTACATTCATAAATATCATTCTCGTGATGATCTAGTCTCTGCCTCTACTCCTCCCCCCCCCCT